GCCCCCGGCCCCCTGTATCGGCCCGCGGGGGTTTACAAAGCACAGGGCAGAGGCTGGAACTGCATCTCGGCGTCACCTCCTCTGCTCAGACAAAGCTCTTCTGCAGCCGGGGGTTGTGTGCCCGCAGGGCTCCCTGACAGAGCACTATTTATTTAAGCTTCAGGGTCGTTTCTCCCACCGTGCCCAGCCCCAGGAACGTGTTCGTGCCAGAGCCGCGGGGTTCCCTGATCGCCCGGGCTGCCTCTGCCGAGCGATGCTGTGATCAGATAACACGAGTTTTAAACGTATTTGTCGGGAACCAGAAACCCGTGTCCTCTGAAGGAGGCAGGAGCAGCCTGGGATCTGCCGGGACACTGAGCTGGATGCGGGTTCCCCAGCGACTGAAGGGAAGGCAGGTCCCCTATGGACCGCGGGTGCAGCAGCTTCTCTATGGACTGTGGGGTAAAGCAGGTCCCCTGGGGTGGATCCTGCAGGCAGCTCCACTGAGCAGAGGTTGGTGAGTTGTTGGGCTGAATCTGGGTCCTTGTCCACAAGCAAAATGTTACGGTTGTCAATTACAAGTTGGATGGAAAATGTTGGAGAAATGTTAAGGGCTGGATACAGGGCACTGCCCAGCTGTACCCTTGGTGAGTCCCATTGCTGATAGCTCAGTTCCCAGGGAGGTGGGGTTTCTATAGCCCTTGGGGCTGTGATTCTGAAGAGCCAGAACCAGAAGAGCCTCATTGTAACTCTCTTCTTGTCTTGTTGATGCCAAACCTTTAGCAGGTGGGAAAAGCGTTTCTGGATAAAGTGGTGATCATCTCTTTGACAAGAGGATGCACAGCCCCAGCAGTGACCCCGGGGCTGGATGAGCTGGGACTGAGGTGCTGGGGGGCTGTGAGTGGGTCCTGGTGCCCTCTGCTCTCTGGGTGCTGCCTTTCCACACCAAACACAGGAAGGACCAGAGTGTCTTGTGCCCAGCAGAGCTATGGAGCAGCTCCCAGTGTTCAAATTCAGCGGGTGCTTCAGTCTTTGCAGTGCTGGAAATGAAATTTTTAACAATTTGGAGATGTATCAGGTATTATATCCGTAATGCTTTAAAATTCCATTAACGTTCAGCCTGGCACTGTCTGCCAGCTGCACTGGCAGGCAGGACCTCGTGGTGCTGTCATTCTCCTTGCCCAGCTGCTCTCACTCCCTCTGGATTTGGGGTCTGGTCCAGGAGGAGCTATAAATGTGTGAGCAGAGCCCAGGGCAAGGGGAAGGTTTGTCCTAAAAGCTCAAGAGCAGAAAAGGGCACAGAAGAAATGTGCTGAAAATGGCAGGTCAGGACTGGACTCCCACCACAGTGCCAGGGCAGGGAGAGGCTGTCAGAGCAGGGGGCAGCTGCCCAGGAGCTGTGCTGTGCCACCAGCCAGGGACCCCAGCAGCAGCAGAGCTGGCACCTTGCTGGCTGTGCTGGTGTCACCTTACGGGTTCTGGACCCCACCACCCTCCTCCTGCCCTTTGTAAACAGGTTTCTTTGCCTTGCAGAGAGATGCCAAGGGCCAGTACCTGTTTGACCTTCTCTGCCACCACCTGAACCTGCTGGAGAAGGACTACTTTGGCATTCGCTTTGTGGACCCCGACAAGCAAAGGGTGAGAGCCCATCCTGCTGGGGGGGTTGGGGGGGCTTTGCACCCTGGTGCTGTCAGACTTGTGCTGTGACACGGGGTGTGAGGCAAACAGCTGGGATGGAATTCAGCCCCAGCAGTGCTGAGAGGCTCTTCCCCACCAGTTCTCCCTGCCCTGCTGCTGGGAAAGGTCGTTATGGTGCCCTGAGGGGGTTGTTGTGTTGCCTGTGGGAAGAGCATCTACACACAGGCCCCCTGAGCATGGCGGGGAGACCCCCACCCCTTCCCAGCTCTTCTGCCAGGGCTGTGTCCCAGGGAGGGGGCTGGGGTGCACCAGGGCTCCAGCAACAGCACCTCCATGTCCTGGCATGGGTTGGGATGTGTGAGCTGGAGGAAATCCCAGGGCCCCACGAGCAATGAGAGCATCTCCTGTCTGCAGAGTTGGAGGAGCTGCTGGTACAGCAAAGGCAAGGAGGGAGATCTCCTGGCACTGGGTTTGCAGGACTGCTGCTGGCACAGACGTGCTTTAACACGAGATGAGGCCACACCACAGCTCAGTGCTGAGAGTCCAGCCACTTGTGTGTGGCTTTGGGTGGTGAAACAAGACATGGGAGTGCCTGGGGGCTGTGGGGCTGGTGTGATGGGGGACAGGGGCTGCAGCAGCCTGCTCCAGCCACAGCTCCAGGCACAGCTCCAGGCACAGCTCTGGCTCCTGCCGGGAGTGCTCGTGGCGCTCATCAAAAACCTTTTCATTTTGAATTGTGGCCTTGAGGAGCCTGGTGCTGCCCTGGGGCTGTGACAAGTGAGATGTATGTATTGAGAACACAGGGCCACAGGCAGCAGAGATGCTGAAAAGTGAAGAAAAATAGAGTAAAAATCTTCCCTCCTCTCACTGGTTTTGTCTTCATGGAGGACGTGAATTCTTAGTGTTTTCTATGGCAATCACAGACATCAGTGCTGAACCTCTGCAGGTCTGTCCTTCTCTGTGCTAATTGGGGTTTGCCTTGGTTGTAGTCACTTTGCTTTGGTGTTCTGGGGTTCCCAATACTCAGGCATCTGAGGTCACTTCGTGACTGGCAGCTCTTTGTCTCCTAAACATGCTCAACTGGTGCCAGATCCAAGCAGCAGCTCTGGCAGACACCTGGTGCAGGTGGAGCATGTGGTTTGTTTTTGAAGGGACACAGGTGGAATTTCAGAATCTGGGGCTGAACTTCACCTCCCCAGTGTAGTGCCATAATTACAGACCCTGGATCCTGTTCACTCAGGTGGTTTCAACTGGTGACTTCCCTGGGCAGGGGCTGCAGCCCACCCCCCCCCGCTGTGCAGCCTGTGGATCTGCCACAGCACAGGCTTTTATGCCAAGCAGAGGGGTTTTTTGTTTATTTAATTTTCCCCTGGAGATTCAAAGTTATGAAATGAAAGGTTTTGCTACAGAGTTGGCTTTATTATCTTCTTTTTCCTTACAGCATTGGCTGGAATTTACCAAGTCAGTTGTGAAGCAAATGAGGGGTGAGTATTCCTGGGAGCAGATGTCCTGGGCAGGCAGTGCTCGCTCCGTCCTTTTAGATTCATTTTTGTTTTCTTCATTTTACCTGTTTTTAAATTCTTTTGGTGGTCAATTCCCAGCACATCTCCCAAAAAGGGTCTTTTTGGTTGTCACGGAGCTGTTCTGCTGGGTGGGAAGTGGGTTCAACCTCCACCAGTCCCAGGGCAGTTGCAGCTGGTCGTGCATCCCCCAGGCACAGGGCACCGGCCAGGACAGAACTGCTGGGATGAGCAGATGGGATTTGCCGTGGGTGCTTCCCCGGTGACTTTGGGGGTCCTGGGGGGGGCAGATGAGACCCCCAGCAATATCTGGCCGTCTCCTTGAGGGGGGTTATTTGGGAGGATGAAGGGGGCCAGCCCTGGAGCTCGGTGACCGCAGTGTCATTTTCTCCTGCAGCCCAACCTCCCTTCACCATGTGCTTCCGCGTCAAGTTTTACCCCACGGACCCGGCGGCTCTGAAGGAGGAGATCACCAGGTAGGTGAGACCTGGCACAGGGGCACTGGGCACCAAAGGCTTGGCCAGGGCAGGGACACACTCTGCCCTGCTCCATTTTATGGTCAAGAGGAAGCAGCAGCCAGTTAGATTTCCAAACAAACGTGGACCTTTGTGGGTTGTCTCAGCTGAGAGGGAGAAGTATGGAAATCCCAGCTGGAGCAGTTGTGCCACTGCCTGTGGTGTCACCCCTGCCTTGGTCCTTGGCTGCCCCTGCTTACAAAACTACATTGCCAGGAGGAAGTGCTGAGGGCAGCATCACTCCACATCCCTTGTGGCCCCAGTACCAGCCTGCCCAAGCCCAATGCAGCTCCCAGGCTGCACCAGAGCCTGCCCTTCCCTGCAGCGTGCCAGGGTCTGCTCTGGGGGAAGAACATGTTTATTTGTGTCTGCAGCTGCAGTGCCCCCATCCTGTCCCCGTGAGGGACCTCAGTCCGAGGCTCTTTGGTCCCAAAGAAGGAAGCCCCCCCGCTGACCTCTGAAACACAGGGACAAAAGTAGCACAAACTCCTCGTGACCTCTTCCCAGCTGGAAACCCATGCAGTGCTGACACCGGCTGCTGCACCTTGTGGGACCCCCAACGTCTGGGCCTAAACCCCCCATGTGGTACCAAGAAGGCCTGGTCACTCCTGGGCAGCCCCAGCTCTGCAGCCCCATGACAGGCTCCCCCCAGCCCTGGGGGTGGGTGCTCTGCTGCCCTCACACCTTCCCAGGAACAGCCCGGGTCCACGCTAAGTGTGTGGAGAATTAAGCAGGCTTACTGATAGAGCTAAATATATTCCAGGATTTATTTCTTGGGATTTTCAGCCTATTTCTGCAGGCAGCAGATGAGTGGGGATGTCAGGGCCGTTGCAGCCTGTTGTGCAGAGTGTTTGTGACATACCTGGGCTCAGCTTTTTCCTTCAGTTCTCTATTAATAAACTGTGGGGTTTTTGAGCAGATCAGTTAGGAGCAGTAGAGGCTGGTGATGTGTATCAAAAACTCTTCCGGAGTTTGTTTTCCCCGTGAGGATGGTACAAAGCTAAGGAAAGCTCTGCTTGTGTTTCATGGGACCCAAAAACCAGAACTAGAAAAACACCACAAGGTGTTTGGAAGCCTGAGAAAGAGTCTGACGGTTCTCAAGGTAGAGAGGAGATGCAGATTAGGAGGAGGGGATCCGTCAAGAGCCCTGTGAGCATTTGCTGCTGCTGTTTAAAAGCATCTCCATGTCCGGAATGCCGGTCTGTGGTGCTGCCAGGACCTGGGCTGCAACCAGCCTTCCTGGGGAGGACTGATCTTTGTTTTCACACGGACGCATTTTCAGGGACCCGCAGAAGTGCCCACGAATAGTTTCACACGGGGACATCGCCTTGGTTGGCTCGAGGGGCATTTCTTTAGTTCACAGACTCGGTTTCCCTCCAGCAGCCCCAGCCCGGGGCGGCCTCGGGGCCTTGATTTAAATGTGGAAGGGCCAAAGGCAGGTCTGGGTGCCCAGCTCAGACAGGGTGTGCTTTGTGCTCCTGCCCTTTCATCAGAGCTCAGCCAACAGCTGCAGCTGGCGGGCACAGCAGGGAGAACTGGGATTCGGGTCAGGGATTTGGATGTGGGAGCTGGACACAAGGGGCATCGGGGACAGATCCAGCCCAAGGAGATCGTCAGTTTGGGCTCAGAAACGTTTCCCACCTTTGCTGCCCTTTCCCGAGGCAGCCCCAGCCCCCAGCCCCACGCTGCCCCAGGAACCTCCCTTTCCTGGGAATGTTTCCAAGGCATAGGCAAAGCTTTGGAAAACCTGGATGTTTCTATATGTCAAACCAGTTCAGACCTACAGCCTAAAGGGAGCAGAGGGTTTCCCTGTGGGGCACATGAGCAGGGCTGGGAGGGTTGCCAGGGATAAACCCATTTAATTCTGCAGTTTTGGTGAGGTGAGTGCTGGGGACAGGCTGGTGCTGGGTGAGGTGCCAGGGGTCCTTGTCCCTGTGGGTCCCCCATGACACCAGGGTGAGCCCCTGTTCACTGCCATTCAAGGTGTGTCTGCAGCTGCAGCTCAAACCTGGCCTTAAAATTCACTTTCCCCTGGGCTGAGGATGCTTTAATATCTGGGTTTCTCGTTAATACATTTTATCTGTGAAAATTAGTGGTTTATCTCGTCATAAATATGGATTTGAGAAATGAAGCATGACTGAGCTAGTGCAGAGTGCAGGTCTGGCTATTGAAACACATTTCCAAGCACTCCCTTTCCACTTTGCTCCTTCACTGTGACTTACATTTTACCATCAAAAGCTTTTTCCCTCATGCATTGCCACATGACTCAGCCCAAACTGTTACTTAGGTTTAAATTTATCCAAATATGTGATTTTTCAGATATAGTATATCTTTTCACTGGGCTTTGGTGCATGGAAGATAGAGATGGGTGAGTGCAAGAGGCAGCTCAGTGTGGGTGGTTTAGGGTTGGTCACCACTGTAGGGATGTGGGGAAGTGGGTGCATATGGAGAGACCTGGACACAGCAAGCTGGGGAAGGAGGAGGTATGGTGATGGGGAGGATGAGCAGCCAGGCAAGGATGCAGGAATGGGAAGTGCAGCAGTTGCTGGTGAGCTCAGAACCACCAGACACCCATCAGAGCATCATCCTGGGCACCCACGGTGACCTTGTGATGGGCGGGGGGGGCTATAGGACCATGGAATGGCTTGGCTAGGAACGGACCTTAAAATCCATCCAGTCCCACCCCTGCATGTCAGGGACACCTCCCACCAGCCCAGGCTGCTCCAAGCCCCATCCAACCTGCCCTTCAACACTGCCAGGGATGGGGCAGCCACAGCTTCCCTGGGCAACCTGGGCCAGGCTCTCCCCACCCTCACAGTGAGGAATTCCTTCCTAACGTCCAACCTAAATCTCCCCTCTTCCAGCTTAAAGCCATTACCTTGTCCTGTTGCTCCTCCTCCCCGTGTTTTCCTTGGTGGGAATGCGCATCCAAGTACCCCCGTGCCCTTTGCCTCCATCGGGGCCCTCCATGGTGGCACAGCCACAGGTGCTGGTGCCCTGTCCCCCAGGCTGGCCCTGCCCAGGGCTGTGAAGCTCCGCGCCCCAGCGCAGCCCTTGGGAGCTGCCGCCTCGTTCCCACCTGCTGCCCCAGCCGGGCTGGTGTCTGGGGCATGAGCTGCTGCGAGAGAGATGTTAGTGCAAGTGTCTCGTGGCAGATATTCCACACCTAAATTGCCTGTTTAGGTAATTTAAACTTTGCTTAATGAATGGACTGTCTCCTCCACCCTCAGGTATTTAGTCTTCCTGCAGATCAAAAGGGATCTGTACCACGGGCGGCTCCTCTGCAAGACGTCGGATGCCGCGCTGCTGGCCGCCTATATCCTTCAGGGTAATGCCTTCTGACAGCATCAATTTGCTTCTCATGCTGAGGACTGATTACATTACTTCACTTACAACAGATCACTGCTCCTAGAATGCAAATGTCATCCCACCAGTGCGGGGCTCGTGCTTCAGGGCTGTCCCTGTGCTGTGCTGGGCAGGAGGGTGAGATTGATAGACTCCTTGAATTGTTCTGGTTGGAAAAGACCTCTAAGACCACCCAGTCCAACCGTTTCCCCAGCCCTGCCAAGGTCACCACTAACCCCTGTCCCTCAGCACCACATCTACATGGCTTTTTAGATACCTCCAGGGATGGGGACTCCACCAGTGCCCCCGGGTGAGCTGGGAGGATGTACCCAGCAACCAAAAAAGGCAAATTTCAGCTCTGGAACATTTCTGGGTTATTTTGCAGTGCTGGTGTGCTTCCTCTAATAGTGTTTTCAGCAGAAATCGTAAAAATTAATGTAATGTCTAATTTTTGCTGGGGACCTGAGGCTGGAGGGAATGAAATGAGAGCAAGGTCCCTTCATCCCCTCACTGGATGCAGTTAATGCTTTGCAAACGATCCCTCCTGATGGGAAGCACGACCGGGGTGGAACAGCATTCCTGGGATGCTCCCAGCCCTGACCCGGTGCTGGCGCTGAGGACCCTGCCGGGGTGGGGGTGCAGGGGTGGACGTTGCTGTTCCTCACTGGTTCTGTCTCCCACCAGCTGAGATCGGGGACTACGATCCAGGGAAGCACCCAGAAGGCTACAGCTCCAAGTTCCAGTTCTTCCCCAAGCACTCGGAGAAGCTGGAGAGGAAAATCGCGGAGATCCACAAGTCGGAGCTGAGGTACCGGGGAAGCTTTGCTGAGTGGGAGTGTCGGCTGCTGCAGGGATCACTGATGCTTGGCTGATCTTTATCCCTGGGTGGGATTTTCAGTCGTGCCGTGGGGTGAGCAGTGCCTGCTCCAGCCTGTCAGCCCCAGCCCAGAGCTGGCAGTGCTCTTGGGAAAGGCAAAACCGCCGAGCAGAGCCGCTTTGAGAGAGCTGGTGCTTCCCTCACCGGGGGGAAAGGTGATCCCGCAGCCGAGGAGAAGCTGCAGGACGTGCAGACAAACACACGCAGCAGCAATGTGGAAAAACCAGCTCAAGATTCCTCCCCCTGCTCCAGGCAGGGCTGAGGGGTTTCTCCCACTCCTGGGGCTGTTGGGTCTGCCGGCACAACCTGTGGGGTCCCTGGTTTCCCCAAGTCGGATGGGGACAGTGACCAAAACCCCTGTAGATCCCCTCCTGCCACCCCCTCTCCTGCCACCCCCGCTCTGTGGAACCCGAGGCACGAGGGGCTGTCAGCACAGCCCTGTCCTCCCATGGCACCGGCAGCGCCTCCGGAGCCGCATCCTGACTGGACACTGCCCCACCCCGGGGTTTCACCTCCCAGTGCCCCTACCTGCTGCGGGCTGCTTCCCTCTGCCCGGCAAGCTCCCCTCTCCTCCCCCTGGAAGAAATGCCCGTGCTTGCCATAGGAAGTTCAGCCCCAGATTCTGCAGGTGCTCCTGAGTTTTGGTCCCTCCTGGTGCTGCCGGGTCGGTGTCTCCCAGTTCCCTGCGGCTGGGGCGGGGCTGGGCTCCTGCTGCAGGGAATGTGGTGCTGGTGTGCAGGGAATGTGATGCTGATGTGCAGGGAATGAGGTGCTGATGTGCAGGGAATGAGGTGCTGATGTGCAGGGAATGTGATGCTGATGTGCAGGGAATGAGGTGCTGATGTGCAGGGAATGAGGTGCTGATGTGCAGGGAATGAGGTGCTGATGTGCAGGGAATGAGGTGCTGATGTGCAGGGAATGAGGTGCTGGTGTGCAGGGAATGTGCCGTGGCTGGTGCTTCTCATCTTTAACAGGAACCCTGTAGCTGGACACTGACTTTTATGTTCATGTCTCCCATGGAATACTCTTTTTTTCCCCTTTCCTCCCTCCCGCAGTGGGCAGACACCAGCTACTTCAGAGCTGAATTTTCTCAGGAAAGCCCAGACTCTGGAGACCTATGGGGTTGACCCACACCCTTGCAAGGTACATCAGTTTCCCAAACACTTCCTTGCAGTGGATTCCTGGCTCTGACCCATACTGAGCTGCAGAGGTGCCCATGGCTGGTCCCAAGTGCCTCCATCAGCCCCCTCCAGTGGGCAGAGCTGTGGGCTGTGCTGGGGCAGTCAAGCCAGGAGGGGAGGGCGAGGAGCCCCCAGCCCTGGTTAGGGAGCTGTCAGAGAGGTTTCCTCATGCAGGCAGCAGGATGCAAAGTGAACCACAGAGATGTCTCACCTCTGGGTTGAGCCAGGGAGGGGCTGGGAGCAGAGGGCAGAGTTGTAACCCCGAGATGGGGAGATGTGGGGCACGGGACAAGCTGTGCTTGGTGCTGGGGCACCTCGTGCCACGCCTGGCGAGAACCCCCAGCAGGCACCGCCCGGGCATCCCTTGTTAGTGATCACTGCCTGCAGCCCAGACCTTAGGATTAAGTGAAACTGCTGCCTTGCTCCCTACATTACACTAATTACTGGTTTCAAACCGTCTCGATGCCGCCCAACTGCGCCGGCTGAGCAGGCCTTGCAGGGAGTCAAGTCACGGGTTTTACCTTGTTCTGGTTTCATTAGCAGGGAAAGGGCTGGGGGGGCCCTGCCCTGGCAGGGAGCTGCCCTGGGATCCAGCTGCGGGTTTCGCTGTGTGTGCGGGATGCTGCAGGCCAGGAGGGGCTGGGGGGAGGCCCCGGTGGCCAGCTGCTGGTTGCTGAGGGGCTGGGAAGCTGTGCTGGCTTCGGAATGTGCTCCTGAGGAGTTGCTGTTGCCTTCCAGGACGTGTCGGGGAACGCGGCGTTTTTGGCCTTCACTCCATTCGGCTTTGTTGTTCTGCAGGGAAACAAGAGGGTTCACTTCATCAAATGGTGAGTTCCCGGCTGCTCCCCCAGGCCCGTGGGTGCTGCAGGGCTGGGCCACCCGTCCCCACGTCACCCCAGGGTGCTCGAGGGGCTGGGTGAGCTCCCGTGGGCAGGGAGGGTGGGCGATGCCAGCCCCGGGTGCCCTTCTGGACACTCAGGGTGTCCCTCCTTACCCTGTCTCACCCCTGAGGAGCCAGGAGCCTGGCTGTCCCCGTTGCTGCCACTGGGCACTGCTCCTCCAAGGCTCCTCAGCCCACACTGCTCAGGACACCTCAGGGCTCCTTGTGATCTGCACTCTCCTTATTTGTTTTATTGCCCCAAACCCCTTATTTTCTCTCTTTGTCCTTTCAGGAATGAGGTGACCAAAATGAAATTTGAAGGGAAGACTTTCTATTTGTACGTAAGTCAGAAAGAGGTGAGTGCTTTCCTGTCTTGTGGCACTTTCCAAGTGCAGCTGTGGTCCTGCCTTCAGCAGATTTCTCCTCTGCCTGTGGTGCAGGGACACAGGCACAGTGACAGGGACACGGGCACGGTGACAAGGACATGGGCATGGTGACAGGGACATGGGCATGGTGACAGGGACATGGGCATGGTGACAGGGACATAAGCACTGTGACAGGGACACGGGCACAGTGACAGGGACACAATGGCAGGGGCTGCAGCTTGGTGGCAGTGCCATGGTCACCTTGCTCCTTGCCCTGGGTGCTGGAGCTGGCAGATGCCAGGTTGCCCCCAGACCTCCCACAGCTCCTGGCCATGGCTTCCTGTGGGATGGTCCCGGTTCTGTGGTACCAGCATCCCATGGGCTCAGTCCATAAAATCAGCCTGAAATGGCTGAACTGGGCTCCCACGTGAGCCATCAGCAGGGTTAAAGAAAAGGGCTTTTCTGGGCATTCAGAAGGACCGGGCACCACTCCCCTCTTCCCCTGCCCACTCCTCACCCTTCTCCCTTAGGAGAAGAAAATCGTTCTCACCTACTTCGCCCCGACACCCGAAGCCTGCAAGCACCTCTGGAAGTGTGGGATAGAGAACCAGGCCTTCTACAAGTAAGTGTGGGGTGGGTGGCACTGCCCCGGGGGTCTGTGCCCCCACAGCTGCCCGAGGGCTCTGTCCAGGTCCTGGGGCTCAGGCAGGGGCTGTCACCCTGTCCTGGTGGCCCTGGCAGAGTCACCAGCCACCAGGAGCACCAGTGCCTCCACGCTGGGTACTCACGGGGTCCCTCAGCAGCAGGGACAGACACCAGCAAACCTCAGGGAATATTTTCTGACCTAATGTTCTAGGGTGGGTTTTTCAGAATGGCTCCTCAGGGTCTGTTTGTGCTGGATCTGGTGCTCTCACCCCCCTGAAGTAGAGGCTGTGCCTGGGGTGCTGTAGCAGAGTCTGCCTTTCCATGGGGAAAGCTCAGAAACTTTCAACAACAATCTGCTTCCAGGCTCCTTGGGAACAAGTTAATTTTCCATGGGAAAAATTCAAGGGACTGTGGAGATGAAACACATTCTGGGCTCCAGCTGCCAGCCAGGGACTGCTGGGGGACCCTCTCTGCAGCAGCTTTGGGGATACCCAGGCTGGGGTCCCACCTGAGCATGGGGAGCTCCTACCCAGGGAGGACAGGGAAGGTCTTCCCCTTCCCAGCAGCTCTGAGCTCCCAGTTTGTGGCCACCAAGGCAGGTTTCTGCCCCTGTTCTGGCTGATTGGGCTGCCTGAAAGGGTCGTCAACCAGAAAGGGAGAGGCTGGTGACTGGACTGTGCCAAAAAAAAAGGGAAGTGCCTGTTGGAATGGTTTGGTTTCACCATCCTTCTCCTGTTGTGCTTCAAACCAGCCTGCTCTGTGCTTCGTAATGAGTTTTCTTTTAATCAGCAAGATGGGAGAGAAAGTGTGTGATGTATTCTCCCTGGGAATGCCGCAATCAGCCCCTGCAATCAGCAGGTTTCGTTTCTCATTATATGAACATGAAATGAAATTGCAATATTGCTTTACAAATCTTTATGATTAATCATGTCAGTGAATTACCACTGGATTATGTGCCCAGTGGGGTGGGCTGTGGGCTCAGCTGAGGTGCCAAGGGTGAGGAGGAGAGAGGACTGTCCCTACCAGTGGTTTTACCCACCACTGGCTGGGCTGGTTGGGCCACCTCCTGGTGGTCCCAGGGGACCCAGTGTGAGCTGCAGCCTCAGCCCCCTGCAGCCACTGGCAACAGATCCATCCAGGAGCCTGGGCAGGGGCTGGGTGCTGCTCCCACTGCCAGCAGGGATGCGCTGTGCTATGGGGGGGTGATGCCATGATGTTAGTGCCCCCCCAGTTGGTGCCACTGCTGCTGGTGGCTTGCTTCGTTTCCCGTGGCATTTCACATCTCCAGGGCTTTGCTGTCGCGGTCCGGCCCTGCCGTGTGCTGCAGCACCCAGCTCCGCCCCGGGGTGGGTCCGGCGGGACCGCAGCGCTGTCCCCAGGGCTGTCCCCAGGGCTGTCCCCAGCGCTGTCCCCAGGGCTGTCCCCAGGGCTGTCCCCAGGGCTGTCCCCAGCGCTGTCCCCAGGGCTGTCCCCAGCGCTGTCCCCAGGGCTGTCCCCAGCGCTGTCCCCAGGGCTGTCCCCAGCGCTGTCCCCAGGGCTGTCCCCAGCGCTGTCCCCAGGGCTGTCCCCAGCGCTGTCCCCAGGGCTGTCCCCAGCGCTGTCCCCAGGGCTGTCCCCAGCGCTGTCCCCAGGGCTGTCCCCAGCGCTGTCCCCAGGGCTGTCCCCAGGGCTGTCCCCAGCGCTGTCCCCAGCAGTGCGCCCGC